TAAATCAAGCAGTAATGTCCCCAGCTAGAGACCAAAAGGTCGCTAGTTCGAACCCCAGCAGTGGTAGGGTGTTTTAATCAAGCAGTAATGTCCCCAGCTAGAGACCAAATGGTCGCTAGTTCGAACCCCAGCAGTGGTAGGGTGTTTTTAATTATTCCTTTCTACCACATTTATATTGAAATACAGTATCTGTATTATGCCTTCATGCTATACTGCTATTGTGTACTATAGCCACACTGTTCCACTTATGATTAAAATCATATCCAACATATATATTCCCAATGTGTAGGTTGTCCTCTACAAATGGATTCCTGAGAAATAAAGGATCCAGTTCAACAAAAAGGAATCAAAGATAAAGGTAGACATGACTGGACAACATCTGTCGGATGATATCAGCTAAATCTATGTTGACATGTAGGAAGGCTAAGTATACTGTCATGTCGACAAATAATTCTGTATCATACTGCTAGACCTTTATATCATACTGCTAGACCTTTATATCATACTGCTAGACCTTTATACTATACTGCTAGACCTTAATATCATACTGCTAGACCTTTATATCATACTGCTAGACCTTTATACTATACTGCTAGACCTTTATACTATACTGCTAGACCTTTATATCATACTGCCAGACCTTTATACTATACTGCTAGACCTTTATACTATATTGCTAGACCTTTATATCATACTGCTAGACCTTTATACTATACTGCTAGACCTTTATATCATACTGCTAGACCTTAATATCATACTGCTAGACCTTTATACTATACTGCTAGACCTTTATATCATACTGCTAGACCTTTATATCATACTGCTATACCTTTATATCATACTGCTAGACCTTTATACTATACTGCTAGACCTGCTAGACCTTTATATCATACTGCTAGACCTTTATATCTATACTGCTAGATATCATACTACTGCTAGACCTTTATATCATACTGCTAGACCTTTATATCATACTGCTAGACCTTTATACTACTGCTAGACCTTTATATCATACTGCTAGACCTTTATATCATACTGCTAGACCTTTATACTATACTGCTAGACCTTTATATCTATACTGCTAGACCTTTATATCATACTGCTAGACCTTTATATCATACTGCTAGACCTTTATATCTGCTAGACCTTTATATCATACTGCTAGACCTTTATACCTTTATACTATACTATACTGCTAGACCTTTATATCATACTGCTAGACCTTTATATCATACTGCCTTTATACTATACTGCTACCTTTATATCATACTGCTAGACCTTTATACTATACTGCTAGACCTTTATATCTGCTATACTGCTAGACCTTTATACTATACTGCTAGACCTTTATATCATACCTGCTAGACCTTTATATCATACTGCTAGACCTTTATACTATACTGCTAGACCTTTATATCATACTGCTAGACCTTAATATCATACTGCTAGACCTTAATATCATACTGCTAGACCTTTATACTATACTGCTAGACCTTTATACTATACTGCTAGACCTTTATATCATACTGCCAGACCTTTATACTATACTGCTAGACCTTTATATCATACTGCTAGACCTTTATATCATACTGCTAGACCTTTATACTATACTGCTAGACCTTTATATCATACTGCTAGACCTTAATATCATACTGCTAGACCTTAATATCATACCTTAGACCTTTATATCTGCTATATATGCTAGACCTTTATATCTGCTATACTGCTAGACCTTTATATCTATACTGCTAGACCTTTATATCTGCTATACTGCTAGACCTTTATATCATACTGCTAGACCTTTATATCATACTGCTAGACCTTTATAGACCTATATCATACAGCTAGACCTTTATATCATACTGCTAGACCTTTATATCATACTGCTAGACCTTAATATCATACTGCTAGACCTTTATATCATACTGCTAGACCTTAATATCATACTGCTAGACCTTTATACTATACTGCTAGACCTTAATATCATACTGCTAGACCTTTAGACTATACTGCTAGACCTTTATATCATACTGCTAGACCTTTATACTATACTGCTAGACCTTTATATCATACTGCTAGACCTTTATATCATACTGCTATTTATACTATACTGCTAGACCTTTATATCATACTGCTAGACCTTTATATACTGCTAGACCTTTATATCATACTGCTAGACCTTTATATATACTGCTATTTATATCATATCTGCTAGACCTTTATATCATACTGCTAGACCTTTATAATATACTGCTAGACCTTTATACATACTGCTAGACCTTTATATCATACTGCTAGACCTTTATATACATACTGCTATATCATACTGCTAGACCTTTATACTATACTGCTAGACCTTTATTCATACTGCTAGACCTTTATATCATACTGCTAGACCTTTATATCTATACTGCTACTGCTAGACCTTTACTGCTAGACCTTTATATCATACTGCTGCTAGACCTTTATATCATACTGCCAGACCTTTATACTATACTGCTAGACCTTTATATCATACTGCTAGACCTTAATATCATACTGCTAGACCTTTATACTATACTGCTAGGCCTTTATACTATACTGCTAGACCTTTATATCATACTGCTAGACCTTTATACTATACTGCTAGACCTTTATATCATACTGCTAGACCTTTATATCATACTGCTAGACCTTTATACTATACTGCTAGACCTTTATATCATACTGCTAGACCTTAATATCATACTGCTAGACCTTAATATCATACTGCTAGACCTTTATACTATACTGCTAGACCTTTATACTATACTGCTAGACCTTTATATCATACTGCTAGACCTTAATATCATACTGCTAGACCTTAATATCATACTGCTAGACCTTTATACTATACTACTGCTAGACCTTTATATCATACTGCTAGACCTTTATATACTGCTAGACCTATCTGCTAGACCTTTATTTATATCATACTGCTAGACCTTTATATCATACTGCTAGCTACCTTTATACTATACTGCTAGACCTTTATATCCTTAGACCTTATATCATACTGCTAGACCTTTATATCATACTGCTAGACCTTTATACTATACTATTTATACTCATACTGCTAGACCTTTATATCATACTGCTAGACCTTTATATCATACTGCTAGACCTTTATATTATACTGCTAGACCTTTATATCATACTGCTAGACCTTTATATCATACTGCTAGACCTTTAGACCTTTATATCTTGCTAGACCTTTATATACTATATACTGCTAGACCTTTATATCATACTGCTAGACCTTTATATCATACTGCTAGACCTTTATACTATACTGCTAGACCTTTATATCATACTGCTAGACCTTAATATCATACTGCTAGACCTTTATACTATACTGCTAGGCCTTTATACTATACTGCTAGACCTTTATATCATACTGCTAGACCTTTATATCATACTGCTAGACCTTTTATATCATATTTATACTATACTGCTAGACCTTTATACTTTACTGCTAGACCTTTATACTATACTGCTAGACCTTTATACTATACTGCTAGACCTTTATATCATACTGCCAGACCTTTATACTATACTGCTAGACCTTTATACTATATTGCTAGACCTTTATATCATACTGCTAGACCTTAATATCATACTGCTAGACCTTTATACTATATTGTTAGACCTTTATATCATACTGCTAGACCTTTATACTATACTGCTATACCTTTATATCATACTGCTAGACCTTTATACTATACTGCTAGACCTTTATACTATACTGCTAGACCTTTATATCATACTGCCAGACCTTAATATCATACTGCTAGACCTTTATATCATACTGCTAGACCTTAATATCATACTGCTAGACCTTAATATCATACTGCTAGACCTTTATACTATACTGCTAGACCTTTATATCATACTGCTAGACCTTTATACTATACTGCTAGACCTTTATATCATACTGCTAGACCTTTATACTATACTGCTAGACCTTTATACTATACTGCTAGACCTTTATACTATACTGCTAGACCTTTATATCATACTGCTAGACCTTTATACTATACTGCTAGACCTTTATACTATACTGCCAGACCTTTATACTATACTGCTAGACCTTAGACCTTTATACTATACTGCTAGACCTTTATATCATACTGCTAGACCTTGATATCATACTGCTAGACCTTTATACTATACTGCCAGACCTTTATACTATACTGCTAGACCTTAATATCATACTACTAGACCTTTATATCATACTGCTAGACCTTTATACTATACTGCTAGACCTTTATATCATACTGCTAGACCTTTATACTATACTGCCAGACCTTTATATCATACTGCTATACCTTAATATCATACTGCTAGACCTTTATATCATACTACTAGACCTTTATATCATACTGCTAGACCTTGATATCATACTGCTAAGCTTTCATTAATATGCGATGTTAAACTGATACTAGGTTATCATAGTATGCAGTGATACCAATGCTAAAGCAAACCTTACCTTATATGTTTCCAGTTCATTGTCATGTTATCCTGCCAACAACACATAATGGCAACAAATTTCTGATCTTGTTACTCTTTTTCAAAGTTAAATTTTTTTCATGTTGTTAACTAAGTTTTCATCTTGTTTTCTAATGCCAAATCTGGTTACACTCATGGCTGACAAAATGAGTTCCTGTCTGGTAAGGTCCATCAGAATCAAATTCAGCTCTATACTGATCAGATTCCATGACGACCATGAGATTTCAGTTTGACAATTGATCATCATTTGATGAATTTACAATAAGAAATTCATGCCAAGAGAAGAAGTGATTACAAGTTAACACTCAGAGAAAACAACATGCTTACAGTACAATAACATCTGGTCAATATTTGTTGTCCTCCACACAACATTCTTATAAACCTTCAGACAACTCAAGCCTACAGAAACATTCTAACACAATGAAACCACAACAACAGAATAGGTTAAAGATGTACAGCAAAAAATGGCTTACCGGTCTTCGCAGCGATTCTCCGTTAATAACTGGTGAGGTTGCAGTAGTGTCCCCATTTCTTGCTCTTTTCCGACTGCCTGACATCTTAGCACCACCTGTACAAAGACAATTAAATGAACTTATAATAAAAAAGACAACGAAACAGATCCAGGGAAAATCTCGGCACCGATCATTGTTTGATTTTTATTGGATCGTTCTCCTTCTCTCCTTTGTTTTTCAACTTAGTGACGTGAAATTTGAAAATTCCTGTAAGAAGTAATGATAATTATCTTTAACCATCAGTCTGAGATCAGTACCTGTCAGCTGTTTTGTTTTTTTTAATCAGATCAAAATCAATAGATTATAACTTGGGACCAAGAGGTACATACAAATATTTGAGAAGGATCAATTCTGTACTTCTGAAGACACAGTGAAAACGAAATGTCAAACCCAAGATATCTGCCAGTCTTGTGTGCTTAAACAGCGACTACGGGAAGCCTACATATGTAGTATAGGAACAATCCTTCCACTTTTTATCATTAACATCTATAACTGTCAAAAACCAAGATGACTGCTTGCCCGCCATCTTGTTTTTCTAATCAGTGTAAAAATGGGCTAAGTACAACTTGGGACCAAAGCAAAACCTACATATGGAATTCAAAAAACATATAAATCTACATATGGGATTCAAAAAACATATAAACTTACATATGGAATTCAAAAAACATATAAACCAAACATATGGAATTCAAAAAACATATAAACCTACATATGGAATTCAAAAAACATATTAACCTACATATGGAATTCAAAAAACATATAAACCTACATATGGAATTCAAAAAACATATTAACCTACATATGGAATTCAAAAAACATATAAACCTACATATGGAATTCAAAAAGCATAGAAGTGATTCTCCAGTTCTATTGATAGCACAACAATAATTGTGTAAGGTTGGGAGGACACACGACAGAAAAAGGACAATTTCACAATGAGATGATGAGCCTTAAGCTTTATACATTTGATACAAAACATTTACATTTAAACATTTATTACACAGAATTAATCCACTGGGCAACCATGACGCCAGCTGAAGGTGATTTTTTTAATTTCATACTGTTTATTAATATTATCATATGATTACTGGATGACAGGGACAATGGTCTTCTTAAGAATTTGTGGAAATTGGTCTGATAGTGTTCAAGGACATTTCAGTGATTGCAGTTTACTTCATAAATACAGTTCACCTCATTATATCAAAGTCAACAGGACAGACGGTGGAAACATTTCAAATTATCTGAGTAATTGATTTAAGTGAGTTTAACTTTAGTGTGAAATTTGGACTGACGGAACATTTCTCATTTAATGGGTCTTCCAGTTATAGGAGTTCCCGATAACCAGGTTTGACTGTAAACTATGTTGTCATCAGCAAATGACGAACAGTTCAAATATAGATTCAAGCAGCAGTGAATTAATAACAATTCTTGGTAGGAAAGCAAAGATTTCTGGTCACATTATCACTTGTACCCTTGAATATTTAACATCAAATCTCTCTAAATTTAGCTTTGAGAATTTTTCCATAAAATTATGATATACATTTACAAATGAAAGGTAACATTTTACAATCAGATAACTAGGTGTTACTACTTGGAATATTTCCACTAATCAGACAGCTAATATTGGTAGTAACAGCTTGGTCTAAAGCCTCTGACAATTGAACTGCATTACATTTATCTTAAAAATTTGTGAGACCGTTGTTACATGCTTATGGTGAATTCATGTATTAACGAGTAAACTACAGAGTGATACATTGTCAGACACACAAGAAAAGGGTGTGGCGTAACAAACGTGACATCATGATCAATAGCTACACATTCAAACCACACTTAATTAAATAAGCTGACTTCTAAACAAAAACGATACACAAAATTCCTTCATCACCTAATAGTTTGTGTAATCATGAATTGTTACCTAGCAACACTAATTAATTCCACATCACAGCGTTCAGCTGACTCTTCACATTTGGTAATTTCTGGAATTAAATCACCGACCTAAAGAGTTATGAACAGGGAGATCTGATCACTGGTTATAGTGTTAAAAAATACCTGATTTATAGGAACACCACAGAAAACCTGTAACCAGGTAACCAAAGAGATCCCAAGTTTTATATGTTAATACTGGAGTTCTAAACATGTAACCAGGTAACCAACGAGATCCCAAGTTTTATATGTTAATACTGGAGTTCTAAACATGTAACCAGGTAACCAACGAGATCCCAAGTTTTATATGTTAATACTGGAGTTCTAAACATGTAACCAGGTAACCAACGAGATCCCAAGTTTTATATGTTAATACTGGAGTTCTAAACATGTAACCAGGTAACCAACGAGATCCCAAGTTTTATATGTTAATACTGGAGTTCTAAACATGTAACCAGGTAACCAACGAGATCCCAAGTTTTATATGTTAATACTGGAGTTCTAAACATGTAACCAGGTAACCAACGAGATCCCAAGTTTTATATGTTAATACTGGAGTTCTAAACATGTAACCAGGTAACCAACGAGATCCCAAGTTTTATATGTTAATACTGGAGTTCTAAACATGTAACCAGGTAACCAACGAGATCCCAAGTTTTATATGTTAATACTGGAGTTCTAAACCTGTAACCAAGTAACCAAAGAGATCCCAAGTTTTATATGTTAATACTGGAGTTCTAAACATGTAACCAGGTAACCAACGAGATCCCAAGTTTTATATGTTAATACTGGAGTTCTAAACATGTAACCAGGTAACCAACGAGATCCCAAGTTTTATATGTTAATACTGGAGTTCTAAACATGTAACCAGGTAACCAACGAGATCCCAAGTTTTATATGTAAATACTGGAGTTCTAAACATGTAACCAGGTAACCATATTTTATATGTTAATACTGGAGTTCTAAGTTTTATATGTAACCAGGTAACCAGGTAACCAAAGAGATCCCAAGTTTTATATGTTAATACTGGAGTTCTAAACATGTAACCAGGTAACCAACGAGATCCCAAGTTTTATATGTAAATACTGGAGTTCTAAACATGTAACCAGGTAACCAACGAGATCCCAAGTTTTATATGTTAATACTGGAGTTCTAAACCTGTAACCAGGTAACCAACGAGATCCCAAGTTTTATATGTTAATACTGGAGTTCTAAACCTGTAACCAGGTAACCAAAGAGATCCCAAGTTTTATATGTTAATACTGGAGTTCTAAACCTGTAACCCACCAAACAACGAGATCCCAAGTTTTATATGTTAATACTGGAGTTCTAAACCTGTAACCCACCAAACAACGAGATCCCAAGTTTTATATGTTAATACTGGAGTTCTAAACATGTAACCAGGTAACCAACGAGATCCCAAGTTTTATATGTTAATACTGGAGTTCTAAACCTGTAACCAGGTAACCAAAGAGATCCCAAGTTTTATATGTTAATACTGGAGTTCTAAACATGTAACCCACCAAACAACGAGATCCGAAGTTTTATATGTAAATACTGGAGTTCTAAACATGTAACCAGGTAACCAACGAGATCCCAAGTTTTATATGTTAATACTGGAGTTCTAAACCTGTAACCAGGTAACCAACGAGATCCCAAGTTTTATATGTAAATACTGGAGTTCTAAACATGTAACCAGGTAACCAACGAGATCCCAAGTTTTATATGTTAATACTGGAGTTCTAAACATGTAACCAGGTAACCAACGAGATCCCAAGTTTTATATGTTAATACTGGAGTTCTAAACATGTAACCAGGTAACCAACGAGATCCCAAGTTTTATATGTTAATACTGGAGTTCTAAACATATGCTTTTGGGACTCAAATTTTGAGAACTCATAATATTTCTTAGTAATTGGACTCATCAGAATTTTGGAAATAGTGCTTTGGACTCATCAGAAAAAAAAATCTTGCAAAAATTACTAATATGGTAGATTTTCTTGGTATATAAAGGAAAGTGATATTATCTTCATCTACAATACATGTACAGTCAAACCCATTTAATTCTATCTCAGTTATATTAAAAAACTGGTTAATTTGAAATAAAAAATAATTCCCATCAAAATGTCTTCTTTGTCTTAGTATTTTCATCCTGTTTAATTTGAAATCCTGCACTATTTGGCAGGTAATACTGGCCTTAAACAGTACTAATGAAGTGTTTTCACATCACTTAATTTGAAGGCCACCTCGGCACCTGTGAGCAGTGTCATCACGCTTTGGTGCGTCTGTATTTCTATTTCAATGCCCAGGTAAAAATATGATACAAAAAATATGTTTTGAGTATTAATCAATGAAATGTGTCTATTATTTGAAAAAATGTTATGGTTAGTTTAACTTTGTATGTAGAAAAGAGCAACAGGTGTTTTACAATGGCTTCGTATAGTCTGGGTGCTAGAAAAAGCCTATACCGTTTAATTTGAAACCCTGTTAATTTGAAATATTTTTCATTCCCCAAGGATTTCAATATAACTGGGTTTGACTATATATAAATCATTTGTATCTCTAAGATTTTTCCTTAATATAAGAAATACAAATCTATATACACGTACAAAGAAAAGAAGGAGTGCAGCGATGATAGCTGTAGCTGAGGGTGAAGATGTTCATCAGTGACCCGTTTTAAAATATAAACAGACTGAGTACATGTATATCAAAGTCTACGAGGGCTGATTAATAAGTCGTGAGCATCATATTAAAGGGTTTGATTTTTGGTGGACATCTCCTCTTCAGTATCTATACACATTTGTCAGCAATGTTTAAGGGCCTCAATGTCACTTTTGAAGAAGTTCTTTTCTGGACCATTCAGAAAGCCCCCCACTGCATTATAATTATCTAACCGAAAGTAAGTACCGAAAATGGCCTTTTATAATTTCAGAAATAGATGATAGTCTGACGGAGCGAGATCAGGTGAAGAAGGCAGATACCCAATCAATTCAAAGCCACAACCCATAAAGACAACCACTGAATGCCCAGTGTGCTTCTGATCAACTGTCAGAAATCTTGGTACCCAACAAGCTTTCGTATTGCAAGATTTTCCGTAATAATGAAATATAGTCTTTCCTGTGAGATCCTAACT